TTTGAATGGTAAGTATATCAACTTGAGTTCAATGCCACGCTGCCATATGGCAAATAATGGTAAGCCTCTCTAGTTTTGTCAAAGTTTAAAGGAAATGATAATTCCACAAAGAAAAGCATATAGAATAGGAATTCTATTCTCAAACTTCAACCAGGACTATCTCAGGCCAAAGTTAGACCTGTTTGCAGATGCAAATTCCTAGCTTAAAGCCTCACAAATTTAAATTCAACACCAGGAAATGGATACATCCAAGGGTAGGGGGTTGGCCAAGGGGAAAAGGGTAGATGCATGAAGTGGGGAAGAGGGCTAGAATGTAGCCAATAATTCATTTTACATACAAAATTATGAAAGGGAAAAGAAGGGGTCGGTTAAAGGGGGGGTGAGAATGTTGAACGGAGTAACACTGATTAAGATGCACTGCATTCATAAACTGCTTTGTTATCTGGCACCTCCCTTTGTATAATTACTTCAAAGTAAGAAAAAGTAAAAGAAAAATTCTTACTTTTAAATTTTCTTAAAAATGTGCTGTGTGGGCCAAGTGTTGGTAGCTTGGGCCTGCAATCCTATCTATTCAAAAGGCTGAAGTTCAGAGGATCATGTTTCAAAACCACCCCAGGCAGAAAGGTCTGTAAGACACCATCTCCAAAATAACCAGTAAAAAAACTTGGCTAGAAGGCTGGTTCAAGGAGTAGAGCACCAGCACAAGTGCTCAGTTCTGAGTTAAAATCCCCAGCTACCATCAAAAGACAATTGTGTTACATTTCTCAATTTCAATGGTCCTACTGGCTTAGTCACTGGAGACCCAGGGTCCTGGAATTTACTACCTACTGAGTCACTTTCCAGCCAATTTTGCCTATCTGGGCCTCCACTGCACATTCATAAAATGAGACTAAAAGAAACACCACTTCCTACTTTCAATGCAATAACACCATCAGAATAATTGACAATATACAGAAAACACTTAGAAAATACCCTTGAGGGAAGAAAGTCTGAGGAATTATTAACCATCTAAATGAAACTAAGACATGGTAAGCACTAACTTTCCTGCCCTTTGTGAAATGACTCTTAGCCATTCTTGAAATCCATGGGGAATATCAAAGAGAAACATTTCTCAGTGGGTTGCAATCTGTAGTGGAGGCCAAACCTGACTCTGCAGGGCAGGATGTTTTCAATGTGTCATTAACTAGAGCTCTGGGGACACTATGAGACAAAAAGTAAGGACCAGAGACGTGCCTGGCATCCAAAAGGAGAAAAAAATTCCCTTAAGCTCATTTCATTTGGATTTGACTCCATATAGATTGATATAGGTGATCAATGTGCTGTGAACATTTCTTAGTGAAAAGTCATTGACATATGAATGGAGACAAGGATTTCTAAAATTGATAACTAGTTAACTATTAATCATGTCTATATTCCATGAGAGAGTGTTTTAGTAAGGAAGGGTATCCAAGGTCACTAATGTGCAAACTTTCTTCTTTCAGCAATTGCAGACACTTTCCCTTAACTTTAGATCTAGGGCTGTGAAAGCAAATCCTACAGCACACACACAACACAAACATGAGAGAGAGAGACAGAGAGAGAAAGAAAGACAGAGACAGAGAGACAGAGACAGAGAGACAGACAGAGACAGAGAGACAGAGACAGAGAGAATAAGTTTTTCTTACTGCAATAATTTCTTCCAGTAAAGAAGTAAGCATAAAAACATTTAAAACAAGGAATTTCATATTTCCTCCTATGTTTTAATCCAAGTCATTCATGAACACATAGCAAAACATGAACAAAAATGATTTCTTACCATCTGATTAAGTTTTGAAGAAAGTATTAGAAAGGACACAAAGTTGAAACCTCTGTTCAGAATCCCCAAGGATTCTCCAGACAGGTTACAAAGCAGAGGAGTAAAAGGGAGATATAACTCCATCTCATACTATATCATTTAGTTCTTGTCAATGAAAGCCATATAAAATCATTGTTATGTTTAACAATAAAGAGAAGAAACAACAGGGTTTGTTAATGTGGATTACTTCTGTCATCTCACTAAAGAAACCAAAACAAATATCCTGCAGACAGCTTTCCTACCTAAGAAACAGGTTGGATTTTGAACTCAAAGCCAAGTCTTGTGTTTTACAAAATGAAGCTTCTTTTTCATCACATTCCCTTATTAACTACCTGCTTATTATATAATCTCATTCTAGGACAGCTTGTCCAAGTGTTCATCTATAACAAAGCTCATGTACAGAGAATCACAGTCTGAAAAGCATTAAGAAGAGGGCAAAGAAGTAAAGGATAGAGGGAGGTAGAAAGGGAAAAAGAGAAGGTGGCAGGGAAATTGCAACAAGTGTCCTATTAAACAAATCCTTTTAAAAAAAGAAGAAAGGAAAGAATGGCAGGAGGGAAGATTGCTTTGAAAGTACAACTCCACTAAACTTCTAAATCTGACAACACAACAAAATATCCTCAGTTGGATAAATTCAACATGACCATAATGTTTTCTGCTTAACAAATGCTTAACGTGTTTAATTTTTAAAAAATCAACAAATATTCAGCTCACCTTCCCACCCTCTCTGTCTACCTTCTTTTCTAGAAGCCTACTCATCTCGCTTTAGCAAATGAGAGCAAGTCCTGAGCAATCCCATTAATCTCAAAATTTGTTTGTAAATGACAAGAAAAAGAATGCAATTAGTATGAAGTATGGTAAGAAATTAGAAATCCTAAGTTTTATTTCTGTGCAATTCACACACAGAAACAATTACTAGCTCGATGAGCAGTGTGCATAAATAATGCCACTAGAAGTGGTATTGTTATACTGTATCCCTGGAACCAACATCCTCAGGTAAATAGGTGCACATATCACACATCACATTTCATAGCGGGGAAGTGCACACATCATACTTTGCAGGGGGGACATGAACATCCGTGATTGACTCCACATGGCAGTATTATGGAAAACATGCTGTGAAGAACACATGGATAATTCTGTATTAGAAACCAGAGCCTCACTTCTGAGAGGAAAACAGCACAGTGACATGAATCTGTCCCTTCATTTCTTGTTCATCATAGGATAATGAGTGTGCATGGTAATCCTAGATGCAAAAATATATGCCTCTCCTGTAATGTCTCATGTAATGATCTTTTTATCATTCTGGCATACTATTGCTATAGACAATAACAATATCAGATTAAATGGAATGAGGGAATTTTTCTACAATACTTTGATTTACACTTTCAAGTTGGAAAATAAAGGCAATGCTTATCATCCATCTATAAACCACAGCAGAAAATTACCCTTGCTTCTTATCAAAGACATGTTTGTTTCTGGTTTCTGATTTCCCAGAGCAAGTAAATGATGACTACATCTTCACAACAGGCCCATGACTTGATGATGAACAAGCCCTTCAATCTCCGCCCTTCAATCTCCGCACACTCCATGTTTCACTGAGATTTCTGATGCATCCAAATCCAACCCCATACAACTCTTCAGATCCTGTGGTTCTTAGGAGACCCAGGTTTCTGCCTTTGGACATTAGACCAGAAAGCTAATTTAGTTTGCTACATTTTGAGTGTTCTAGAACATCGGCATACATACGTCTTCCAGAGGATGTTATGCACTGAGACTCTGCAATTCAAGATTCTATCACAAATTGTTTCTAGAAGAACATTCGTGAAGCTAGGCACTACATTCCATCCCACAGTCTCTTCGCAGACCATGTAACTAGCTGATCATACATTTTCACTGACACTGGTCAAAGAACAGAGAGCAAACTGGAAGTCATACAAACGATATGAATAGCAACCAGGAAGACATGGAACATTTCATTACTGGGTCAAACTGGATTAATATGTTGCTTTATTTAGGTTCCCTGTGAAACAGAAAACCACTCTCCTTTCAACGTGGCCTTTCCTCTCCTCTGTCATATACCTTCTCTGCTTTTGATACAAAAGTGTGAATATAAGACAGAAAATGACATAGTCTTTAATCAAAGGATCCCCAAAAATCTAGTAAAGAGAGAAAATTTCAGGAACAATGAGGACCATATCTACAAGAGCAAAACTCTATGTATATTCCCACAGGTCCTGGCATATGATCTAAATTAATGTATGCCTAAAGAAAAAATGTAAAGGCATTTAATTATTCATTAGTGAAGTACTTCATACTGATCTGATAGCGAGGATGACCATAGTGTGACAGAATGATGATGATGATGATGATGATGATGATGATGATGATTTGGCATGTCAAAATGACATTCCAAAGGCCATAATGGAGAGATCTAAACATTACCACTCAGCAGCCCATCTGTGGATTGCTCTAGATACCTTAGCAGTTGTTTAATAGTTTGATCCATTATAGTCAGAGCTCAGTAGCTTATCAAACTAATGGAAATCACATGATCACTCCCCCCAGCCCTCCATTCACCAAATTCTGCTTTGAATGGCTTTAAGCAATTATCTCCAATCACTCATGTCATAAAATATTTCTACCATTAAGGTTGTCTGTATGGATGGACAAAAGCAATTGTGGAGCTCTTTGGGAACCTCAAGCCTGTGGAAATATTTTATAGCCTCCCATGTGGACCACACAGAATAGGAATCAGATTCTAGCATTTTAAAATGCTGGTATCTGACTGAGCTCAACTCCAACAGGTTGTTTATCACATTTCATTTATTTCACATTTATCACATTTGGAACTTTTAGGTAGTTTTTCCAACTTAGTCCCAGACAATACTAGCATAACTTTGACTGCTTATCTATTTTCAATTCATTTTAACCAAAGGTAAGAAAACGTATTTTTATTTTTTCTTAGGATAAGAAAATGTAGTGCTAGTGGCTTTGAACCTCAGTCCCCAGATCTTAGCCTTCTAAGTAGCTAGGATTTCAGGCATGAGCCAATAGGGCCTGGCAAAAAATGAAGTCCTATGACATAGTCAGTTTTGAAAACTTGACTTAAGAGTGCATGAATTTAATAAAATTTCTTCCAGGGCTTTTAAGGGGAAATACTTACGCCATGATGCCTGACAGATGAAACATCTCAGCTGTTATGTAGGATAAGTAGCTGTACAGGAAGACAAAGAGTGGTTCGATAACTCTGATATTATGAGTGAATCGAGTGGTAAATGCTGCTATAAATCCCAGGAAGATGCCGATGAGCACTCCACCAATTCCTACCACAAAGAAGTTAGCAATTCCTGCAAACACGTCAATGGTCTCAATGGTTTTCATCTGGCAAAATGACTTGAAAAGGTTGTACAGGACCTGTGGGAGAGAGAAAACACGTTGTAAGATCTCATCTAGTCTCTTCTCTCTCCTCCTGGCCCCACACAAACCCGTCAATGAGTGACCTTTCCTCTGTGAACCTAAGTGGATGAAAAGGGGTAATGGCTAGATAGTCATTTGTAGTACATTTTAATTTTGTGGATTTTTAAAAAACAAAAACATTGTTTTTGATGAAAAGTGTGCTGTCAGAGAAATTATTTCTAAATGTTAAAGGGAAGGGGATTTCAAGGTTGTTTCCTAGCTTACTGTAAAACACTGTATTGTCAGATCATCACTAAAATTCTTTAAAAATATTTGTTTACCACCCAGTATACCCAGTTCTGTTCTTTTAGCACCATTGTTTATGAAGCTATGTGTCAGAGTAAAACTTATCAGTACTGGCATGAAATTGTTTACCTCACAAAGACCCACCATGGAGTCACACAAGGAAAGTCCTTCTCCCAAGTCTTCACTACAGATCCACCTCCTCATTCCACCTATGTATATGCTTGATGTAATATGAGATTCAAAAGAATGTTTATATCCCTCCTGGGGCTTGAACTTAGAGCCTCAAGATCTCACATGGCTTTTTTACTTGAGACTCTCACCTGAGCCACCTCATCACTTCTGGCTTGTCCAATGGTTAATTAGACATAAGGGATTCACAGATTTTGCTGCCCGGTATGGCTTTGGCCCAAGACCTCAGATCTCAGCCTCTTGAGTAGCTCAGATTACAGGTGTGAACCATTGATCCCCAGCCCAAAGGAATTTTTTTTAAGGCAGCAAGTATGTGGTGCGGTGTGATGAGTGGGGTAGGGAAGAATGTGTGTTGTAGTGTGTGTGTGTGTGTGTGTGTGTGCTGTGATTTCACACATAGTTTATGCCTCGGTTGTCTAGTTTCTTTTACAGACTTGGTTTAATTCAAGAATGCTAGGTACTTCAAGTCTGCTGAGCAATATGCTTTCAACCATTGGAGGGGGCACTGAGCCAGCTAGATGGGGAAGAACTGGCTTAAGACTTCCCTTTTGTTTTGTTTTTTTCCCACAAAACTCGCAAGACCAGTTCAAGTCAAGCAAGTTTCCTGCATCTATTCTTGATGATATTTACAACTTGGGGGGGGGGGTATATGGCATCTTCAGGAGAGCCAATTGAGAAGGATATTTGAGATCAGGGCTCGATGACATTTTCATTTGGGTTCTGAAAAAGTAAAAATTGATCCAGTTTGACCAAGGTCAAACAACACAAAATGTCAGAGGCAATATTAGACTACAAGTCTGCTGACCTGGTTAATGTGTTCAAAGCATGACCCTGGTTAGTGAGTCACTCTCCCTACTGCTCACTTGCCTGCCACCTCACTATTTACAGTTTAGTTATGGCCATTAATGACCATCTACCACTTTATAAATCTGATATATATTTTTATTCTTCCTGATTATATACATCTTACTGTGATTTCCACATTGTCTAGTAGATGCCATAGATAGATAGATAGATAAATAACTATATAGGCAGGTAGATAAATATGTATGTAGATATATAGTATATATACATATATAGCTTGGTTTTCAAAAATTAGTGATGATCCAGAGAGCTGTTTTTCTTTTCTCTTAATTCTTGGTGTAACTCTCAAGAAAACTGGGCTTCCTACCCTCAAGAAATAACTTAAAAATGAACAAGACCCGTATCTTGAGGAATGAAACATTGAAAATATTATCATTTACTAGACCAAGAAGAAACTGATTTCAAGTAGACTTCGCTGTAGCTTCCTGTTGTCAGCCAGAGGCTTGCCCCAGCCACCAGGTTACCATGGCAACAACATGACACAACCACTTTCTGGAGAAGACCAGAGATGTGCTACCTCTGTGCTTCAAGATAGCTGAAGGCAAAGGTGACAGTCACCAACACTCCAAAAGAAAGAGAACATAGAGATAAGATTTTTAGTTTGTTTTCTCATAGAGAAGTTCTAATTTTTCATTAAAAGCCTCTCTCCTAGGTTTATTTGGGCACTGAATTTCTGTCCCCAGCCTCTACCACTCCTCACTGCCTCCAGCCTGCCGGAGAGAATTTGTTTGAAACTGCTGGTGACCTTACTTTAGAAAAGCTTTTTATTTATTTATAATTATCATTTATAATTATTATTAATACCTTATAATACCTAGAGCATCTTCTACTTTTCCTTTCCTCCCTCCTTCCCTCTGGCCTTTCCTCTCAGCCTTTTTCTTCCTTCCTTTCTTCTCCCCCTCATCCTTCCCTCTCCCATTTCTTTCTTCCTTCTTTCATTCATTCATTTCTAATTTTGCAGGGGAGGGAATGGTCCTGAGGCTTGAACTCAGGGCCTAGATGCTATACCTGAGCTTCTTTTGCTCAAAGCTAGTGCTCTAACACTTGAGCCACAGTGCCATTTCCAGCCTTTTCTGAATCATTTATTGGAGATAAGAGTTTCATGGACTTTCCTGCATAGGCTGGCTTTGAACTGCTATCCTCAGATCTCAGCCTCTTGTGTAGCTAGGATTACAAGCCTGAGCCACTGGTACCCAGCCATTTTTATTTTTTTTTAAACTGCTGTCCAACACTTTGGAAAGACTGGAACAGGATTTTACCACTGTTCCACAGAACACATCTTTATACAGCTTTGCCCTTGTTTTATTTTCTGCCATTTTCCTTAGTAGAAACCAGTCCGTAAACCTAGAGTAACTCTATCTGTCTTCAAAGTAGAGCAGCTGAAGCTGCTATTCCTACCAAATGCACTTTTGGACTTCTATAGCCCTTGTGATTCACCCTTTCCTCTGGCTTCCTACAACATGCAAATGAGCTGCCAAATCATTCATCACATTCTGATATGCCATCTTTGGTTGGTGGTTCTGCCTCTCAGTTGAGTGCCATATTTTCTCAATGAAATTGGAAGGTCCTGCACTCACTTAGTGATTCTCCTCCTCCTCTCTCTCATCTCCCAATCCTCATCTCACCCCATGGAGGACACTGATAAGGCCTCCTGATGAAACTCGGTGATTAGGCTCACAGAAAAGGGAGAATCTACAAATGACCATACATTCATAAGCCTTACAAAACTATTTTCCTGGCAACTCATCATCTACTCTATTCCCAGATATCTCTGTAGATATTGTAGAGAGTGAAGCTGAGTGCCAGATACTTTGCTTTCAGCTTACTGAAGGAAGTTTCAATTGGATCAAGCTGTTGCCCCCAAATGCTCACACCATGTTGGAGGCAAATCTTACATAGACACATTATCTTGACAACCAGAAAGCCTTCCATAATGACCATAGTGTTTTATGCCAAACTTGACACCAAGGAGTCATAATGAATGAGATAAAATCCTTTAATTACAATTATCCACAAATCCATACATAGTTCATTCATACTAGATCCTTGAATTTCACCCAAGTGAATTTTTGCAGAAAAGAGGTTTGAAATTTTCATTTATATATGTATATTTATTATGTATACATAACTATGATGTACATAGGCTAAAAATCTATCTCCTATGAATCTGTGAAAAATGGCTTCAATGAGTACAAAATTAACCCACAAAAATCAATAGCTTTTCTGCATAACAACTATAAAAAGAGAAAGTGAAATCAGGAAAGTAACTCCTTTTGTAACAGCCTCATAAAAACATCTAGGAATTAGCTTAACTAAATATGTGAAGGACCTCTATGAAGAAAACTTTAAAAACCTGAAAAAGGAAATTAAAGCAGATATAAGGACGTAGAAAAACCTCCATGTTCCTGGATTGGGAGGATTAACATCATGAAAATAGCAACTGCCTAAAGGTATCTACAAATTCAATGCAAGAACCATCAAAATCCCAACAACATTATTCAATAAAATAGAAGAAGCAATCCAAAATTTCATATGGATTAATAGAAGACCTTAAATAGCAAAAATAATCTTTAGCCGGAAGAACAGTGCTGGATGAATATCCATATCAAATTTCAAACTCTTATCATAAAACCATAGTTATAAAAAAAAGCTTGGAACTGGCACAAGAATAAGCCTGAGGACCAGTGAAATAGAATTGGAGACCCAGAAATGAACCCACAGACTGATAGCCACCTAATCTGATAAGGAAGCCGAAAACACAAAATAAAAGAAAGACAGCCTCTCTGGCAGACTGGGGTATGTAGAAAACTGAAGTTCGATCCTTCTATACAAACCTGAACCAGAATCAATTCCAAATGGATCAAAGACCTCAATGAATGATCAAGTACCCTAATAATATTACAGGAAGGGATAGAGGAAACACTAGGGCACCTTGGCACAGGTTGAAACTTCCTTTTTTTTTCAGTCTTGGGGCTTGAAATCTAGGCTTGGGCACTGTCCTTGCACTCCTCAGCTCAAGGTGAGCGCTCTACTGCTTGAGCCACAGCGCCACTTCCAGTTTTCTATTGCTTTATTGTAGATAAAAGTCTCATGGACTTGCCTGCCTGGGCTGGCTTTGAACTGTGATGCTCAGATCTCAGCCTCCAGAGTAGCTAGGATTGCAGGCGTGGGCCATCGGCACTCGACCTAGGTTGAAACTTCATAAATGAAGATCTAGAAACACAGCAAATCAAAGATGGTCTGGATAAATGAGATTGCATTAAACTGCAGAGTTTCTGCACGGCAAAGGATGCAGCTAGTATGATAAATAGAAAGCCCACAGATTGAGGGAAGATCTTTACTAGCTGTACATTAGACAACATCCTCATATCTAAAATACAGTTAGAGCTCAAAAGATTAAACCACCCAAAACAAATTTCCAAAGAAACAACAACTCCATGAATAAGTGGGCTAAAGACTTAAAGAGAGAGTTCTCATAAGAAGTAATAAGAATGGCCCATAGACATATGTAGAAATGTTCTCTGTCCATAAAAGAAATGCAAAACTGAATGACATTGAGATCTCACCTCCTCCCAGTTAGTATGGCCATTATCAAGAAAACTAATAATAACAGATGTGATCAAACTACTGCATTGTTGGTGAGAATGTAAAGTTGTTCA